TATGACCCAGAACATCTCACAGTGGAGGCACTCTGGTGAGTTTCTGAACCGCTTATGTCAAATATTTGGTATGATGATGGGAATCTTGTGTCCTGATAACCCTCTCCCTATAAAAGGAAATCTCAGTTGCCACTGTTCATAATGCCTCCCATGATGAACTATCCCTATCCAGTTTACAATGGGCATTGCACTGCATAAGTTGCTAGTATTTTATTAAACCTTTCCAGAGTAGTAAATATGGAAATCGCTTCTTGGCCACATGCTGATGAAGCAGCCACCATATTTGAATTTGTTAACTCATTGAGAACATAATGATCATAAGCCACAAAAGGCTCATGTTTCACCACAGCAAATGCTTCACTTGGACCGCGACAATGCTATAGCGTGGATTTGTCTAGCTTCTTTCCCATTCCTACCCAAATGAAAATGGGTCAATGCCCCTGTACTACAACCCATTAGCCTCCTGATGCTGAAGCATCATTCTTGCAGTCCATGACAGACTGCAACACCATGAGGAAAAGACCTACTGTACAATGCACTTAAGGACATGGATGACCTATTATGTCTTTTTCTAAATGTAGATTATGCTGTATTTATGGAATACATGAAAACATTTCCTTGTGTTCCTTCTATTAGACTGATCAGGGATCGTTTCTATGACATGTCAATTTATCTATATTGCTAATGACGAAACATTTTTAGAAATCGTTTTAAACTATTTTAAAACAGTGAAGTTATGTATTTTTCTGCTACTTTCAACTAAATAAAATATGGGTTTGCACTAATGGAAACCATTTTTAAATCATGTCATAAAATAGTGATATTTAATTGTTCTTTATTACATCCCGTGGCCCAAAACATGTGATAGCACCTAGTGTATGAACCTGCAGCAGAGCGAGGTCAAAAGTCATTTGTGTGTGCTCTCAAGAGGTGATGGTCACCTGGTTAGGCAAAAGGACAGTGCCTCGATTGTCTAACGCACGGGGAGGCGTTCTGCACTTTGGAAGGGTTGCAGAGGGCACAAATAATATAATCTTGATCAGTACAAAGACTGGCGTGAGTAGTACTGGAAGCCATTTGTAAATAACTACGAAAATTAATTATATTCATTTCTATTTAATATATATGCTTCTCTGGAATGGGGCATAAGCTACAGCAGACTCTAATGTACTGAATTTATCCATTTCTTGTTAGGACAATGCCTCTCGTAAAATACATTTTTAAAATATATTGGAGTCTATTCATTTTATAGGGTTTTTTCCCACTAGCAGGAAAGGGTATTCTGCTAAAGTGAAACACTTTGGCAACTCTTATAACAGTGAGTCAAAGCCTCCAAAATTATTTTTTTATGATCTTAAAACTGAACTTTTGAAATGCCAACTGAAATATTGGACCTTGTAAATAGATATCTACAAGATCAGGTCTGGGCAAACTTTGTCCCTCCAGGTGTTTTGGACTTCAACTCCCACAATTCCTAACAGCCTTGGGCTGTTAGGAATTATGGGAGTTGGAGTCCAAAACTCTGGAGGGACAAAGTTTGCCCAGGGCTGTACTAGATAAATACGGTTCTTGCATCCGAGTTTGGGGCATCTGACAGTTTACTGAAATCTAAAAGCAGAAGCAAGTTGTGTTAGTTTCAATAGGGTTATTTTCACTAGTTAATTTTGTGAAGTACTTGAGATTCACAGGCACAACATTAGTGAAACGTATTACCACCTGTCATGAAATGTTCTTGATACTAAAATGTATTCATTCTGATGGCTATTGCTGGTGATTTGTTAAGGAAAGAATCGTTTTTAAGTATGTAGCTATGTCATACTAATTTCCTTATTATTTTCAGAGCTGCAAATTATTTACCGCATCCACAAATGAACAACACAAAAGTGGATTCTGCAACTCTCACAAGAGTCAGCACCTTTTGAATCTCTGCACAGAGAGAAGGAAAAATGCACTAAGTGAAATCTGAAGATTTCAAAATGGCTCTGCATAGGACTAATATTGGATCTTATGAGCAGCTTCTGGTTTCTTGGCCCACTTACTCCCGCTTCCAAGGCTAGGAGAAGCCAGAAAAAAGGAAGGAAGGAAGCCAGAAAAAAAGGGTATTCAGTTAGCTAAGGATGGCTCTTGTTGGTGCACAATCTGGATCAGTTTGCTGTACTATAGAGGTTTTTCAGGCACTGAATATCCACAGCCCTAGATATATAAGAGCCAATGTTATTTAAAGAAATTTAGAAGTCCTTACAATATTTCTTATATACAATTCTTCAGCTCTGCTTATTTGTTCTATAAAGAGACAACGCCATAACTTAATCTGAACAACCTGAAACTATTTCTGCCGCATCTACACAAATGGCAAGTGTGGAAGGGCATCTGTCACTCATCTTTCCCATGACATGCTTCTTGACTGTTCCTTACTTTTTAAAAATTCAAATGTAAAATAGTGCTATAGCTATGTATTGTCAAAGGCTTTCATGGCCAGAATCACTGGGTTGTTGTGTGTTTTCCGGGCTGTATGGCCATGTTCCTAAAGCATTCTCTCCTGATGCTGGCATCCTCAGAGGTTGTGAGGTCTGCTGGAATCTAGGAAAATGGGGTTATATATCTGTGGAATATCCAGGGTGGAGAAAGAACTCTTGTTTGCTTGAGGTAGGTGTGAATCAGCTAATCACCTGCAATAAAGGATTCCTCCAGGCAGTAAGAAGCCAGACCTTGAGAACCGCTAGGCTATTAAATGCTCATCAAGGTAGCCAATTGCTACATTCATGCCTACCTCAAACAGATGAGAGTTCGTTCTCCCATCTTGAACATTCCACAGATATATATCCCCATTTTCCTAGTTTCCAACAGACCTCACAACCTCTGAGGATGCCTGCCATAGACAAAGGTGAAACATCAGGAGATAATGCTTCTGGAACATGGCTATACAGCCCGGAAAACACACAACAACCCAGTGCTATATCTTATCTGATCATTCTGCAATTGCTGCTGTCAGGATCTCATGTTATTTATTTCATTCCAGAAAATAAAAAAGATTGAGCGCCATACTATTCAGTCCCCAAGATGCATACAGTTGAGAAAATGAAGAGCGTATCGCACCATTTGCAGATAGACAAGGAAAGGATTTCAGCAAAGTTCTGGTATGATATGTGGTCATAAACCAAGGCAGAATAGGGCCCAAAGTGTTTAAAAAGGAGGCAATTAAAATGCCTGGTGCGTCTTCTGCTAAGCCCAAAACTGCCAATCATGTTCCATATACTGTATATATTAACAGGCTTCTAAATTACAAGCAATACTTGAATGTCTACCAGGTAGAAACTTCAGCCAAAATGGAAAGACAAAGGGCAATTCTGATCCCTCCCGCAACCCATTTGCTTATCTAAAAGATTCTATAACCTTTGTATAAAACTTCATACTACTAAAGCCAAAAGCCAATTGAATACAGTAACAGGAAATCATGGCAATGGAAAATGACTTCATACGCAAGCACCGACACACAAGAGAACGTCATGGCCTTTTTCTTCATAAAGTTTTCAACGTTGCTCTTAGTAATACCCTTTTTAAAAAACATGTTGCTGCATTTCATCAAATTCATGGAGGTAGTTATATGTGTAAAAAAAGTTTTACCATAAAAGTAACATGTTGTATTATAATAATACATATCAAGTGTGCAAAATGCCGACAGATTTGTGTTGACCCTTTAAAGTTGAAACACAACATAGAGATTCAACGCATTCTGGTTTGTAAACCTCTCAGTTGATACATTAGGAGGAGAATGATTGATAATCAACCTTGTACAAGGTTGTCATGATTTCATCACAATAGTGACAAAAACAGTCAAGCTCCACTCCTATCGGTAAATATAGCTATAATCTCAAAAAATGGGATTTCCTTATATTCCCTTTTTAAAAGAATGCAAAATATTCCTTTTTCTAATTTCTGTTTATATTACATATTCTGAGAGTCACTTTGATGCCGATAAAATATCAAGCAGCCACACCAACATTAACAGGTCCTTTTTTTAAAGCTTGTCATTGGGGCGTTTTGAATGGTGAGGCGAAAGAAGTGCATTGTATAAAACTGGAATGATGACTCTTATGTAATTGCCATATGTATCCATTGGAATGAGTTTAACCAAAGGAAGAATATTTCTCACACATGGCAGGATCGATCCTGTGCACATTTTTAAAACTGCATTTGATTTTAAATGTTGCTTTCCATTGTAAATTTAGATACAACTTCAATGGTTTATTGAACAGATACATGCTATAAATTTGTCTGCATGCCCCAATGGAAAAAAATAATTAATGCAGTATTATACCAAAGTCCTCCCTGAACTCTAATAACTCTGAAATTTACAAGTATTACATACTCCCAGAGTTTAATGTAGAAGCAAATTGGGCAAGCAATGCATTTCTGGGTTATTATGACAGAGATCCAAAGGCAGAAGGCCAAACTGCATAATACTCAATTCTATGCACTGGATCTTCTCTTACTGTTTATAGTAAATACAATTTGTGTGTGACAATAAAGATAGCCTAAAGATCAGATTCTTTATCAGTTGTTCTAGGTTGGTGGTTCTCAACCTGTGAGTCCCAGGTGTTTTGGCCTACAACTCCCAGAAATCCCAGCCAATTTACTAGCTGTTAGGATTTCTGGGAGTTGAAGGCCAAAACATCTGGGGACCCACAGGTTGAGAACCAATGTTCTAGGTTTAAGGAGTGCAACTCAGATATTTTCACAGGGCTCAAGAAGCTCAGTATGTACAATGAGATAACCTGTGTGGAAAACTTCCCAATGTTGAACAGCTCCAGTTTGTTCAGAACTCTAAATATACACCTGAAGCCCTGGATTTACGAAAAGCTGCCAAATATAAATTGAGACCAATTCTGCCCAGCATCCATGAAGCTATCTCATAAAGCGCTTGAAATCTGTTCAAAACTGGTTCATTTAAGAGTGCACCTTCAGAAGACAACAGAGAACACAAGTGAAGCTTGGACAGGTTATACAAATCGTCACCAGTACCTGATGAAAATACTTTAATAGAATGCTTGATCATATCACCTGGATTTCAACAAAAGACAAATAGTGTAAATGTCAATGCATACAACAATTTACACTGCTTCTGGTTATTCTTATAGTCTCTCATACTTCAACTTGTACCACCATCATGATTTTCTTAAAACAAATTTTCTGCAATATGGGGTTGCATAAAAAAAAACTGACAGCAGAATTTGGCCCTTTAAAGTTTTTCAAGTTCCCTCTTGAAGTTGTGGATCTCTCTAAACATTGATCTAGAATACTTTTTATTAATAAATTACTTTGGATTAGCCATTTCAGGACATACACATTAGATATAATAACCTGTGGATATAGAACTTCTGCTATCAAGTTTGTGAGACTCACAAAAGATATAAAGGGATGTCTTTTATTGAACTAACCTTTGTTGACGAAACCCTTAGCAAGATTTTATTCATTGTAATTATCACCAATGAAGCTGTTTTGTCCTCTCATTCTTTCAGATCAGGCAAGAAACTTCTATCAGCAATCCTTCTGGATACATTAAATTTCAATTCATATGACCGTGTTTAAACTAAGTATTTCCATACAATGTTCATCCACAAAGAAATATAATTCAATAAAAGGCCTGAAGTTTATTTGTCTCTAAATCTGTTTCCTACAGTGTATGCTAGTTTCAATAGCCTAATTTAGGCATTCTAAAAGCTACATAAAATAGAAATATAATTTGTCCTTCCATAGAAAGAAATCAACTCTTCAGGCTGTTATTTTTCATTTGTATCACAAAGAGTTTTCCTCTTTATCTCTGCTGAAAAAAATATTTTGATATTAATAATAATTTGGGGGTAACAACTGGAGTGGCACATTTAATGACCACCTAACTTGATTTTTTTAATAAACAAAACCTGTTTGTGTAACTCTTTCTGTCACTTAGTGATGTTCCTCAACGTTGGTTTCTCCTTCCTCTCCTTCAATTCAAAGTCTTACATCCCTGCTTGCAACTAGGGGAAATTAAGAAATAAGTTGTAGATAAACATCTCGCATTTCTGAAACAAATCAAATAAAGTAAAATAGATAACATCTCTATTATCTCCCACCTTTTCCCATATCTTTATAACATGACCTCTTTTGACTTACTTTTGCTATGGATTCTTGCAAAATCATGTCATGAAGACTCACAGTGAAAATGACAGATGTATAAATAATTCACAGGTAGAGCTGAGGTCTTTCCTAGTCTTGTTTGGCATTGTTTCCCCACAAGGTGACCCTTAGCTGTTTACTTTCAACAAAGGCTCAGTTTATAAAGGAAAAGAATCAACTCTGTGGCAAAGAGTTTAATCAGTGGTAGGGGGCATCACATATCTGTGGCATTTTTAAATGAAGTTGGCAACTGCATGACATTGAAAATGCAGATTACACTTACAGTGTCTAGACTTTCATATATGTGCTCAGTTACGATTAAGTGAAGCAAAAGTGTACATATTATCCCTACTGCTATTCTGTTGCTACAGAGCCGCAAAATGTGAAAAGCAAGACCTTGAAATAAAGATTTCTTTGTTGCCCCTAGCCTATGTAGCAGCACAGTTTAAGGAGACACAAAACTGTGTGGCTGAGATGCCTGTTCTTTTTCCTTCCAAAGACGTAAACATTGGTCCCAGTGTCGTAAACTTTGCTGTATAGGATGAGACAGAGGATCTGAGGAAGAAGCACTATCAAACACTTGTAACAGAAGCTTGCAGGCAATTGGCAGGTTTCTGCAGTTTTTCAGTTTCACTCGTGGAAGGGTCAGCTGTTGCTCGAAAGCTGAACATGGGACCTGCACCACCATGCGCAGGGCTGAGAGCGGGATTCTGGCGCCTGTTGCTTTCAACAATGCTTGAAGTGTTCGAAGCTAAGCTCTCGCGAGTGCTAAAGAAAGAGAAAGAAACACTTATAATGTACACAATTATCAATCTGTGAGATGGAAAGGCAAACAGAAAATGGTAGAAAGAATTTCCTCTATATGTACACAATTCTTCAACCAATTGAAACATCCTAGTAGGTAAAGGCAAAGGTTTTCCCTGACATTAAGTCTAGTCGTGCCCGACACTGAGGGGTGGTGCTCATCTCCATTTATAAACCGAAGAGTTGGCGTTGTCCGTAGACCACTCCAAGGTCATGTGGACAGCATGACTGCATGGAGTGCCGTTATCTTCCTGCAGAAGTGGTACCTATTGATCTACTCACATTTGTATGTTTTTGAACTGCTAGGTTGGCAGAAGTTGGGCCTAACAGCAGGAGTTCACCCTGCTCCCCAGATTCGAACCGCCAACCTTTCGGTCAGCAAGTTCAGCAGCTCAGGAGTTTAACCTGCTGTGCCACCAGGGGGGGCTGGAAACATCATACTTTGACTACAATATATATACAAGGTCCAAAAATTTCTGTCCATTTGCTGGATACAAAATGAAATGTGTACTCAATTTCTACTGTAGTTACTGGGAGATAGGAGTCAACGCTCTGTGGAGACCTTGTCTAATCTTCAGAAAAAAACAGAATTAGAAGAAATAAGTTAAATAACAAATACACACCATTTGTTTAACTGGTATAACACAATCTGGCCACAGTGCAATAGTGTATCAGTATAACATGAATCCCCCCCCCCCCCCTTCTGCTATAGTAATCTTTGGCTAAAATAAACTCAAGATGCTTTCTCAGGTTTATAGAATAAATAGGGAACTGAAGAAGGAAGGGATAGAAGCAGTGAGGGTCCAGCGAAGGCACGTTATTGGATTCCTAGTTGTGCTTGTAGCATTCAATCTTTCCCGATGAAGAAGATACCTTGTTGTATTTGGTTTTTTACCTTCTCAAGAATATGAACATTATGGTGGATGCATGTAGACATATACATTTTTAAAACTCCAAGTACACATTGATGTTGGCCATTATTAAAAATTAATATGGATATGTTATGTACTAGAAATTTAAGAACTCTTTAATATGTAGCCATGCCAACATGCCAAATGTTTCATTTATCATTCAAGTGGGGAAAACAATATATTTCTAGCACCTTTTCATTCCAGACTGGTGCACTGAAAAACAGGGTCACCCTGGATCAGCTGTATGGCTGGCATGACTGAACTAAGATATGAGGATTACTGTTCTATCACAAGCTTCACTGAGTACCAGCACTTATCCTTCCTTATATACCATACAGAACATTTCAGGGTAATTCTGAAAAGACTAGGAATTTTCTATATAGAACAGGCTTCCAGCATGACACAGTTCTGAACCAGCAAATATAGTCAGAGAGTGATCTTATGCCAAATCTGCACATATTTGAAGATGACATAGTACTAATATTTTATATGCGTTCAGAACATGAAGCGAAAAATAAGTCGAAGGGAGAAGGCAGTCACAAAACACAGCAAGTGATGCTAGGTAGTCACTGGACACAACATAAGAGCAGTAGAAAAATTATCTGTATACATGAACCTACAAGACATGGCACTATGTTTGCTCTTGACTTCCTTTTCTTTCTTCCTCCCATTTCTTTTCATCACTGGATGACTGTTTTCTATCTAAAGTAAAATTCAATGCAGTGTGCTACTTGCATAATTTAGTATTTTTCGTATTACACTCCTTTCGATTCCACTATATCTCATAGGAAGGCTTTCATATGATAAAAAAATTCCCAGACAGTCAATTGCTTTGCTTCAAAAAGACTGTTATAGCCAGCAATCCCCCAAGAGGCCATCGTTCAATAATGATATCTCAGTTGCAGATTGATGGGGTAGCAATATCACATTACCCTCAGGCAATAAAACTGAAGAAATGCACCGGGCATACTTCTCTCTGAATATGTATAGGGCAGAAGTGACAGTATGAACTACTAGTTGCAGCTCGCAACAGCAATATAACTACTGCTGTTGAACAAGACTGCTGACTGAGCTGTAACACTAACATCAATGCATTACACTTTTTTCATTATTGACTGTGCCCCTTCAGGAAATGGGTGATACTTGAAAGCAGTGAATAAAAAAGCAACAGAAATCTCAAAGATAAACAAAACTACAGCATCAATCTGGGATACTGGGGGAGAAAAAGGGAAGATGTTGCATCTAATGGCTGAGGTTCTTTAACAGTATCACAATTAGCAATACAGACAGTCCCCAGGTTACGAGCAAGATAGATTCTGTTCTGTAGGTTTGTTCTTAAGTTGAATTTGTTTTTAAGTTGGAACAGGTACATTGTTAAGTGCAACTCCTATACCTATACATATATAAAAGATTTGAATAGCATAGGGAAGTGTTAACCCCCCCTGTGGTGTTGATTTTGCTGTCTGTGCCTCTGTTCAGAAGATTTCACCTCACTGTGATAATTATATTTTGGGGGAAAAAACACATCTTGTTGGGGAAACAAGGATTGGTGATAGAGCTTCAGTGAAGACACCTTTTCCCCCATGACAACTCTTCCAAGCATGAATTTTCCTTCCTTGAAGTAGATTTCTCTTACTTCCTGTTGTCTCAACCCCGTTTGTAACTATGAGTCGTTTGTAAGGCAGATGTTTGCCTATATAAGCCAAATGTCTATCCATTTCAAATAGGAACTAATGAATAAACGTTTCCTGTTAAAGGGAATGCAAATTGGCTTGTCATGCCATTACTAAACAATCAAACAATAATATAAAATTAAACCAACTTTACAAATCAGCTTTTACTTTAAAATACATATGCACCAGAGTTGTGTGTATTTTTTCCATCAAAATTAGATGTTATTATATTATTGGTTATCATATAATGGTTATTATATAGCCATAATTACATGAAATGAAATACATAATGCAGTGCTGCATGAATGCAAACATTACAGCAAATTGCCATAGTCATCTAGGTCAACATTCAAACACATTCTAATTTTGGTATATATCCTGAAATTAGTAATGTAACACAATTCAGTCTTTGAGCGATGTTGGTCCAAACCATGGCTGGGGCTCCCTCTCGGGCATTTCAGCACTTTGTTTAGAGTTGACCATGATCAGCTTTGCTGTAATGTTCAACTGGTAAAATAAGATTTGTGCTTGTGATTAGAAATCAGAAATCAATTTCAAGCCATGTGAAAGCATTACGGATGCCTTGCCAAATCAATGTTATATGAAATTATGGCTTGTAGAGCAGGGGAACTATTTCAGGACATTGTACATGAGTTAGAAAACAGAAGGGGAAGTGGGGAATCTTGCCATCTGTCTAGTCCACAAAGAATCATCTTAGGCAAACTACAGTAATCATAGCTGGAACACCTTCTTAAAACATGCAGTAGAAAAATACACTGACAACATCTCACTTGGAAAATGCTGAATAAAAGTCTTCAAAAGAAGTTAAAAATATCAGAGATGAAAACTTGGAAACGTGTCCTAAGCCAGTCCAGTTTGGTAAAGGAAAAAGCATCAAAATGAAAACCTGAGAAAGAAGAAATGATTTTTGCCGGAGGTGTGAGACTTCTGAGTAATTCATCTGTGGGAGTCACAGAGACCACGAAAAGTAAAAGTTGATGTATGCTCTCGGCTGAGTTTTGATGTATGATAATGCTATGAATGAGACCTCCAAGAGATGCTATTATAACAGTCCTGCCTTGGTCTTAGAAACTGAGGGTTGTGGCTTTTTAATTGGATCAATCCATCCTAATGCAGTCATCTTTTCTTATCGTCTTCAACTTTATTGAGCATTATTGCCTATTCCAGTAATACCCAAAGTACCTATGTCCCATGTACAATGGCCTCTGGACTCAGTTTGATCATTTTAGTTGCTGGTATGAGTTCAGGCTTTTCTATAGAATCCATTTGAATGTCTTTTAGACAGTTTGTGATTAATCTACACAGAACTCTGTGTATGCATCTTACTTAATTCTAACCACATTGTGATCGTTTACAACAAAGCTGTGTCAGTCGTTGTTAATACTTTCCTCATAAAGACCTAAAATTAAAAACACAACAAGCAAAAAAAGACAATTAGAAAAAATTGCAACTGAGTCACAGAAAAAGATGGGGCAAAAATACTATACAGGCAGTTCTTGTTCATACGACTCTTAGTTACAAATGGGGGTAAGACAACAGGAAGTGAGAGAAATCCACCCTTACGAAGTAAATTCTCTCCTGGAAAAGTTATCCTGGGCAAAAGGTGTCTCTATTGAAGCTTTATCACCAATCGTTTCCACAACAAGCCATAGTTTTCATAATCCAATTGTCTCTGGGACAGAGAATGAGGTGAAATCTTCTGAACAGGGACACAGACAGCAAAAGAAATATTACAGCAGTGTTACCTCTTCCCTATGCTATCCAAAACTCTTTGAAAGCTTTTGGTTAGAATTGCATTTATAAAATGTAGTTGTCTCAACTTACACACAAATTCAACTTAAGAACACACCTACAGAACTTATCTTATTTGTAACCTGGGGACAAACTGTAGTTAGTTATTATTTTATGTATGTTTCTGTATGTCAGAAAGACTTGAAACCATTACTGTCTTGCATTTTCTAGAAAAGAGTAATGATAATGACATATCTTAGGCACTTTATGAATGTACACCATAAATTTAGTGAAGTTGAAAAACCAGAATTTACTATAATATGTGGTCTTGAATTGGAAAAAAATTAACGTCAAAATTTTTATTTTAAAAACAAACAAAGGTGTTTTTGTTTTGCCTTGAAGGGAATATATGACTATGTCTGTAATTTTGTCACAGAAACTAAAATGACATTTGAACAGATTTGTAGTGTTCGTGGGAAAAGAGTTTCATTGGTCTACATTGTTCCTTGCTATCACTCAAGACAACCGGCAGAAGCAAAATAAATCACAGAAAATTAATCTTTTTTAGGAGGATGGTTGAATGTATCTTCGAGTAGGGAAAAAACTTTTCACATTGAAGTTCTCTCCCTTAGTTTTTTCTGTCTTAATTTCCAGGAAAGACAGCAATGCCAGCCATACTACAATCATTATCACAAGTGTACAGATTGATAGGAAGCCCACATTTTAAAAATAAAGATGTTAGTCTACAATGTAATGGAATTCCATGTTTGCACATGTTTTCACGAGATAAACAGTACATACAAACAAGCATTGTACCACACACCAGTATTTTAAAGTACATTTTCCTTATCACATAATATGATCAAGGGGACTATGCTTCCCAGATGACCGAGTTTGATTACTTATTTGGCCTCAAAACCTGTTTGTCTCAGAGAATAATACTGACCTGGCCATCTTCTGAAAGAGCTGTGATTATCCCCAGTTGTGTGAACACAGTCATAAAGGTCTGGTGACTGCTTAATCTTGGATAGATAACCAATCAAGCAAAAGACAGATTGCTTCGAGCTCATTTAAAAAAGCATTGTAAGAGAATAATAGCATAGCACCACAAAACATAACACATATGACATGTCAATGCAAGCTCAAAATATTCCAGACACTGATAAATTATTTTTAAATTCCTACCGTGGGGAATTGAACCCACTGTCAACTGTGATGCTGCTGCTATCCATACTGTCCAGTCTCGCTGAATGTGTGGCCCTCTGATTGTTGCTGTTTTCAGTTTCCTTTGGAGTGAGAAGAGTGAGATTCTTCTCAAACTTCCTTTGCAGGTCCCTTTCCTTTTCCCGCTCAAGAAGCCACTGCATAGTGCCCACATCATCCCGATTCTTCTCTTCTTCAGCATTCTTGTTTGTCCCTTCCTCAGAGTCATCATCATCAGATACATTGTAATAATCAAAGGTTGCTTCTTGGTTTCCAGCTGTCTCTTGCTGTCTCTGGGAAACGGGTATAACTTGAGTAACTGAAGTTACCAAAGCTTGTTCGATTTTGTCACATCTGCTTGGCAATGTGTCAGAAGATGTCTTTTGATGAGGTTTTAATAGTGGCACACTAGGCTTGTGAAAACTGTTAACGGACAGAGTACTGTGGAGAGGCTTAAAAAGTGTGTCTTTGCTAAATATTTCTTTCCTCTTATCGAGGCTAGTGGATTCTGCGTTGTGGTGTTGAACTAGTCGGCCATTTGCAATAACTTCAGACGTCTGGCTAGTAGCAACTGGTCCACTGCTGTTGTTTGGCCCTTTAGGCGACTCCTCTTTGTGTACTCCAGGTTCCCTGGCTATGTGTTGCAACTGTCTTTCTGAGGGAGACACTCTTTTAACATTTTCAGTCAAAGTCATTGCGTCATGGTCGTCTTTATTTTTTCCTAAAGGTGACGGAGCAGTAAGTACAGTTTCACTAGAAGTGTTGCACTGAAAGTAATCATCAATGGCTGATTTTGTGGTACAGGAGTTGAGATCACTGTAGGGTTGTAAGGTGTCTGCTGGCATACTCTGCTCTAATAAACTACAAGGAGTTGGAGTTTCTGAGTTGCTACCAGATTTTTCAGATTTAACAAGCTCTTTGTAGCTTGCAGATGACATCAAAGCCCTTTGATGACTGAGCGACTGTGAAGGCCTTAAGGTGCTATCATCAATGTATGTTTGGCTGGTTGTCTGGTCATCTTGGCTGCAAGCTTCAACTATGTCTTCAGGTGTACCTAAAGAAGCACCGCCCAGAGGTCCTTTGGAGTTATCCATTGACCGAGACCGCTCCTTGGCTTTATTAGGTCGCTCATTTCTTGATCTTCGGTCTTGCGTATGGCTGTGACTTCGATGTACTTTAGAATGGGAGCTTCCCCTTGAAGGCTCAGGAAAAGGCATCTCAGTTCTCCTTTTGGCTAATTCACCAGATACATCCCATTCAGGAGTCATAGGAAAATGAGATTCAAGGACGTTAGGACTGCTGTGCATGAGGAAATTGTCCCTTTTGTGTTCAATTATGAAACAGCCTTCCCGTGGCGACCTCGTGAGAGGGTCATAAAACTCATATTCTCTTTCCCCTGGTACATCCAAATGGGATCCCTCTGAAGGATCTCCTTTAGAGACCCGGGTTTTGCTGTGCGACCGAGATTTTCCATGAGACTTCCTATGACTTCGACTCTTTTTGCTTCTCCCACTATGATGAACTGAAGATCCAGCCTTGCTTCTTTGAGCTTTTTCTTCTTCAAGTTTCTTCATTAGTGCCGTGTGCCTCATGACGTTTTCTACAGTCAAATCTGGGTTTATGCGCCTAATTATCTCCATCTCTACCTCCCTAGGTATAGTGGTAGGGGTATCTTCATCCCTCAAAGGCCATTCCTCAGGAGGAAACTGGGCAGAGAAATTTGCCAGCTGTTTTGTTTTATCCTTTTTGAAGCTTAGTCGAAAGAGTTTTAGCCCAAATTTTTTAGACTGCTTTTCTGTATCTTTAGGCTTTGTAAGTGTCTCTGTTTTGTAAGAAAAATTTACAGTACTTTTACTTTTTTCAGTGGGTGGCACCTGACACAGAGAAGGGGGGCAATATGAGTCCTTACAGTCTTTTGCCGATTTCCTCTGTAGAGTGGAGGCATGCATGCTATGCATGTCTTCTCTGCAACAATGGCAAGAGTCGCAGTGGTTTTTGGGTATCGTTCGGTCTCTGACACATCCCGAGGTGGAAGGAGTTATAGTTCCTTGCTGGGGAGAGGTACACTGAGACCTGTCAGGTATCCTCTCATCAAGATGGTACCACTTACTGTTAGTTCTTATAAGGGATGGTGTTATAAAATAAGTCTGTGGGGTCACAATGAAGTAGCCATCTGGAGTTGGATATATTTTCCTCTCTCGTACCAGCATGTTCAAAGTATGACGAAGGATTTCGGGACTTGGAGTTGGAACACCTGAAAACAGACAACAAAATGCATTTATGAGTTACGTTTTTTCACACTAAATTCAGAGCATTCTTTTTTGGCCTCTCCACAAAAATAACCAATCCTTGACATGATGTTGGCAAATAGAGCGTAGTGAACAAGTAAAATGTGTTCAAGCATTATCCAGCTTGTTGAACATATTTCTGTAAATTATTAAATATAAAGGAAAATCTCATTTGTTCCCAAAGTGTTGGTAAATTTTAAGATTGAAATTTATACCACTATGCCAAGAGCCAAACTGCAGGTTTTCAAAAAAAAAACCTATATGACATTCCCCTAATGCATATTCTTATAAATATTTATATCCTAATTAGGTGTGCTATTTCTTAGAACACAAAGGTAAGAGAGCAAAAGGCATAATTCTGCTATTTGCAGTATTTGCACACGCATTTCAGGAAAGAAATAGTATTGGAAAACCAGCAAAAAATGTTCCGGAAAAAGGCATCTAAAAATCTAGGCCATTATTTCCATGATAAATACTCATTTTGTCTTAAGATGAAACATGAATTGCAATATGGACTTCAATTTAGTGAAATAAATTTAGTTTATTTCAATGTCAGGCTAAAGTCAGATTGTGTCCAGATTTTCCATACAGCCTTGCAGTACACTAAAAGTTTTGATGAGTTCTTCTGTTTTCAAAATTATTGTGACATTCAACTAGCACAAATAACATTGCATGAATGGACAATTAATTCTTGAGTACATATAAGAAGATAGCTAATGCAGTTAACATATTTCCTGCTATGGAATCAGGTGTACAAACACGTGTCCCTAAAGACCCCAAGGTAAGCTTACTGCTTGCACAATTGGAAACGGGTTGAGTATCCTTTGTCGAGAATTCCGAAATCCAATATACTCCAAAAAACCAAAACTGTTTACATGGGTGGCTGAGGCACCTGTAGTTTCTGGTAGTGTACATTATACTATGTGCACAAAATTATTAAAAAATACTGTGTATGAAATTATCATCATATTTTGTACATAAGGTATATAAGAAACAGAAGTAAATTGTGTGTTTAGTCTCATCTCTAAGGTATCTCATTGTGTATATTCAAGTATGCCAAAATCCAAAAAATTGAAATATGGAACACTGCTCATACCAAGCATTTCAGAAATAATAATAATAATAATAATAATAATTATTATTATTATTATTATTATTATTTATACCCCGCCACCGTCTCCCCAAAGGGGACTCGGGGTGGCTAACATGAGGACAAGTCCAAAGATAACAATACAGCAAAATAAAATGCAAAATACAACAACAAAAATTACATCACAATAAAGTACATATAGTGGCAAAATAAAATAAAGCAAGATAGCATAATAGAAAATCGAACACAATGGGCAGGCCAAATCGACAAGATAAAATTATAAAACCCTGGATGAGGTAGGAGTAAAAAAAGTGTATTTGAGAGGAGCCCAAAAAGGACGAACAGTACAATTAGGCCTTCAATTTAGGATGGGGGAAAGTGCATCATAAGGACAACACTATAGATAGAACAGACAGAAATGGGATAAATGGTCACTCTCCAACAGAAGAGCCAGGTTTTCAGATCTTTCTTAGAGGTTGCTAAGGGCTTGCCTAATCTCACCAGGTAGTGAATTCCAAAGTCGTGGGGCCACAGCAGAGAAGGAGTTCTCCCTCGTTCCCACAAGTTGTGCCTGAGATAGAGGAAAGGGCAAAAGGAGGGCCTTCCCAGAGGATCGAAGGGATCGTGCAAGTTGGTGGTAGGAGATGCGGTCACGAAGGTAGGTGGGTCCCAAACCGTTCAGGGCTTTCTAGGTAATAACCTGCACCTTGAATTCGGACCAGAGGATGAACGGCAGCCAATGGAGCTCCTTAAACATGGGGGTTGACCGCTCTCTGTAATTTGCCCCAGTTATTAATCTGACCGAACATTGGACCAATTGAAGTTTCCGGGCCATCTTCAAGGGAAGCCCCACGTAGAGTGCATTGCAATAGAAAAGGGATGCTTGATCCATACCATATTATTTTCCTCCAATACTAATGTCCAAATGCCCTAAAGCAGGGGGTCTCAAACTTTTTAAACAGAGGGCCAGGTCACAGCCCCACAAACTGTTGGAGGGCTGGATTATAATTTGGAAAAAAAAATAAATGAATTCCTATGCACACGGCACATATCTTATTTGTAGTGCAAAAAAAAAACAAACACTTAAAACACTATAATAATTAAAATGAAGAACAATTTAAAGAAATATAAACTTATTAGTATTTCAATGGGAAGTGTGGGCCTGCTTTTGGCTGATGAGATAGGATTGTTGTTGTTGTGTGCTTTCAAGTCGTTTCAGACTTAGGTTGACCGTGAGTGTGAGCTGGATAAATGACCTTGGAGGGCCGTATCCGGCCCCAGGCCTTAGTTTGAGTACCCCTGCCCTAAAGGAATAGATCTCATCTGAAAATGGAAGCAAAAAGGGTTAGCTCTTGTTAGTACTTGAATGGAAGAGTGCCAATGCATACCAGATGCAAGAGGCTATATGTCAGAAGAAGTAACTGGCAAACGATCTCTGAATATTCTTTGTTCAAGAAAATCCTGTGAAATGGCTGAAATCACCACAAGTGAACAGGAAGGCTGAAGGTAGGTGTACATGCAAAATGTTAGATGTAGACCTTGATTTAATCCTGAATAAAGATTAGTAGCAGATGAGAGGGCTGGAAAGCGGAACAGGTTGACTGCAGAAATTGTAGAGATTTTATGCCAGAACTGGACAATAAGTCTTTAAGAAATTGCTTCAATATGAAGACAGTAGCCTTTGACTGTGTTCTTTTCCACAAAATCATTGCTGCTTTAATAAACAAACAGAACAATTCTGCAACTGCAGTATAAGATATGACTCAAACTGAAAATTTCCATAGTAATCATATTTTTGAACTTTATTAATTCTGCCCTGGCAATAAATAACCAAGCAATAAATTAATTTTATGAAAATTCTCATCAACTAAAAGTAATCTTATAGAAACAAACCAAGCTTGTTTCACCAGCCTCCCTAGTGCATGTGTTGAAGCTATTATCCTCATAATGCAGACTTTCAGATCATTTTCCTGCTTGCAATTAAAAGAGTACAAGAAAAACTGACTAATAGAAAAAAATTGCTACAATATGTGCGAGAATGTGCTACATTCTTTCAACATCATCAGAAGGAACAAAAAGCTTTAACTGTATTACACTAAATATGTTTCACGCTTATCCCTATTTATGCTCTAGGTCAACAATAGTAATCCTTTGTTCAAATACGGAAATACAAATAATACTTCAAAAATAAATTGCTATAATGAAATTGAGCAGAAGAGACATAAAAGGGAAAGAAAACCAAACAAAGATGCCTCCCAAAATTCCCCAGATAGCACAGCCAGTATCACCAGAAATCAGTGAGGTTCCTTCTACCCAGATAGGATTTAAGGTATATAATACATGGTGGAAATTAATTCTGTTGCTAATACCCCTTTTCTAGGCAAGGAACTTCAGTGTCTATTAAACAGGTGATATTAGATGCTCTTGGAAAAACCAGATTATTTGAACCCTTGTTTCACACCAATTCTTAGTATTAAGAAAGTCCTGGTTATCTTGAATGATAACGTAATCCAGTTGAAAGATGAGAGAAGTACAACAGGCTGAGGCAGCATAACTTCCTTTTTTCAAAACTTAATAAAACCCATTGTATGAATCAGAAATTTTTATTTATTTATTTTATAATGTAGGCGCATACTTAAAGTTTTGTTTTACATAGTTTTGAAGATCAAATTAGGTAGGTGACGCCCCCCATTCTCCATACACTGAGTAAACCGATTTCTGGCATTTGTCATGACTCTTGCCAGCATAGCAGGCATTATGTTGGCAATTTCTTCCTGGATGTTGGTCTTCAATTCTTGTAGGGTCCTTGGACAGTTCACATAAACACAGGATTTCAAAAAAACCCATAGAAAAAAATCACAAGGGGCCAAATCTGGAGAGCGGGCATTCCAAATCTGCTCGAAAAGTAGGCCTCAACGGCAAAAGCACGCTCCTCACAGTTCCAATGCATGATGGCGACTGAACTGTGTCAGGACAAAACTTTATACTCCCGCCTCTCAAACGAGACCACTAGCGCTCCGCAACGTCTTCAACCGACTGAATGGCGCGCATTTTAAAAAAGGAAGTTATGCTGCCTCAACCTGTACTATCTTGATGCTGAATTTCTCAACAGCTTTTGACACCATTGGCTTACCAGATATCCTACTGGACGAGCTATGTAAACTAAACCATGTAACACTCCTCCAGATTTATATGAAGTTTTATAAGAATTTGTTTTTGGAGTTAGTAAGTTGTGGAAGAGCTGTAAACAACTGAATAAACACAGCGAGCAGAAGGTGACTCCCAGTTCAGTAGGGCCCACATCTGTGTCACAGCAGTAGGAAAAATAAACTGCATGAGGATGTGAAAGAGGACATATTATGGTGCTCCTGTTGTGAATGTCCTCTTCTTGGAAGTCTGATTCAGGGGCTAAGTTAAAACATGACTTTATTTCAGAGGCTTTGTCATCTATATGGACTTTTCCAGAACATCACACCAGCTAGAAAGAAGTCAACTTTAAATAATAATCTGAATCTAGATGAAGCTGTTTGCGATGGGAAGGTAGGATTGGGGTATTTATTTATTTCGCGTATTTGTACCTTGTCCTTCTCACCCTTGAAGGGGGACTCAGGGTGGCTTTACAACAGGCAACTATTAGATGCTGAACACATACATTAAAATAAACAGTTACATTTACAGTTAAAAACAATTATAAACATTCATTTAAATGTTTATAGAGGTATGGAATGAAATATAACATCTGCAATTCCTATCAAAATGGTTTTCTCATTTTGGAATTGGAAATTTCATAATTAGCATGCCATCAAAGTAAGACTCATTCATCTTGGCTAAACAATCCACCTAGTTAGATATTAATCAGCAATTAAAAATAAAATGATCTTCTATAGCTGTTCAAGTTTGTATCTTAAAAACAAAACAGACACACACGTGTGTATGTGTGTAATGTTCATTTGTCAATAATAAAGTATAAAAAGAATAAATATGATTATAATGATCAATCAATGATTAGTAATTAATTTAATTAAATAAGGAAAAATAAAATGAAAAATAACACTGTATTATAGCCATTTCACAGTTGCTTGAAAAGAGAACACTAAAGGTTCAATGCTCACAAAAAAAGCACACAAACTTCCCAGCATCAGGGTACTAGTAATCAAATTAGCTATTCTTTTCTTGGAATACTTTTGTATGTAAAATTCTTCAATCACCAACCTCATTCCTATATTTTATAGGCAATTTCCTACCTTTAAAAAAAACATTCCAGAACTCAGGCAAGATGGAATTGAAAATACTGCTCAACCGAAGTGGTGTTACTTGAGATTATGTAGTACCTTAATAATTCAAAAGCAAAATCTGTCTGGACACTGAATCATCAGACATGTACATTTTCCGCATCTCAAGAGAGAGTACTATGCCCTCCACTGAGCTTCCAGACAGAAGATTATGTCTCGTTTGCTGCTCACAAAAGAAGGCTGACCTAAGGTGAACCCAGTTAAATGTAAGACACATTTCAAGTTGCTATGTGTAAATTGGAAGTAATTTCAAAAGAAAACATGTAAGAATTCTAGTATTTGACAGAGACCAAAATGAAGCATGGTTATTGCCAGAAAATGACCTCTTCTCAAAACATCAGTTATATCAATACTTACACAGTGCATCTGTTAGGGGGGATTTAAAAATGTTTTATATATTATATGCATTTTGTAACTATTGTGACAGTAAAATAACAAGTTTACTTCTTCAAGAGTAAATATTCATTTTCCTTACATGTATACTCAGACAATTGGCACCTGCTATATAAAAGTTATTTTGATCAGTGGTTAGTTGCCTTCTTGATGTTTTTTCAACAGAAATGTTTCGCTACATTAATAAATATTATAGAATTCCTGAGTTGAATAATATTTAACCAGTCTTTAATACTGTTCTTCACTTTTTCTTTTCTTTAATATAAAAATAAGTATAATGAAGAATATTCTATTATGCTTCCTAGATTATTATATGTATTTTTACTAAATTGTGTGATGTTCTAATTTTTATGTTTTAATTGGTTTGGATTTTAATGCACTTTTTATTATCAATGTATGTGTATATGCGGCATCAAACTGTTTGTATGGCCACCCTGAGTCCCCTTCAGGGTGAGAAGGGTGGGATACAAATAAATAAATAAATAAATAGTCACAAGACCAGTAAGAAACTCTGTGATTCTTTCTTTCTTTCTTTCTTTCTTTCTTTCCTTCCTTCCTTCCTTCTTTCTTTGGATTGGTTGCTGTTTCTCTACCTATATATCTCAACATATCTTCTCTATTGTTGAATGTACCAGTTTTTATTTAACTCTATTTTCTTCTGAGCATTTCAGTACTGTTGACACTAATACAATTCAAACCAACTTTGTTCTTGATGTATTACTACAATAGTACCTTCACTAAAGAATACCTTTATTATGGAGCATTATTCTTCCTCTCTTTATAATGTTTTCAGACAGATCATAAGGAAAATACTTGATTGCTTGCTATTTGTCCACAGTGTATCTACACTGCACAGATCATTTTTAGGATTCTTAAAAATGAATTATTTTCTCTAAGTGCATGTAGATTCAATTCTGTGAATCAACAGCTGCTGAAGATGAACTGCACATTGAACTGCACAACACTATGACCACACTGCCATAAACATATAAGTCATGCCTAATTTTGGAAGTCAATCAGGGTCAGGCGTAATTACTATTTTAATGTTTGACCACAAAAGAATACTAGGGATTTCTAGATGGGCCTAGGAAAGAATCCTAGAAGTGAGCCATAGCTCATCAGAGACAACAATATTGAGCTCCAGTTTAACTAGGAATATATCCATACCATAAAATTATAGCATTTTGATACCACTTTAATTGTTATACAGAATCCTTCCATTTGTAGTTTAGTGACATACTTGAAATTATTTGGTATGGAGGCCTAGCACTGCACTTCAAGTACTATAACAGATAATTCTAAATATCAGGATTCATTGTATGAACCCATGGAGGTAAAAAGAGGCATCAAGCTACCATAATTTGCAATTTGGAAATTAATGAAAGCAGCATATACTCTACCTGGAAAACAGGTTGTAAGGTGTTCCATTAGTGCTTCTTGTGTGACTTGTTTTCGTGCTGAGTTCATTGCAGAGATGGCTAAGCAAAGGATTTCCCCAAGCGGGATAAACTGTGATTGACTGATGGGAGACATACTGATGGGTGATACATCACCTGCAGAAAGAAAAGAGACTTTCAGGCAAGTACTTTGCTCAAGTATCATTAAGTTAGAATGTCTCTATGGAGATAGAATGGTGTTTTCATCATATTTTTACTATACATCCATCTATCCACCCCCTTATTCATACTTTGCTTCCCCCAATCCACCCAGGCTAGGACCTTGGGCTTAATGAAGGAGAATCTGGGGAGGGATTAAGTATGTATTAACCTATTGTTGTATTCATTTACTTGAATATATTTATTTACAGCTCCAAAACATAAAATTACTCTTGGTAGCTTGCAGTAAACAACCATAAAAACAATTTTAATATAAAATACATAAAATGATAAAACCACACAACATTAAATACAACATCAAAACAAAACTTATTTCATATTTTAAATATGTCCTACAAAACAAATTGATGGACAATTTCTGAAAATTCCAAGTAGACACAGCTAATTGCTCACTTTTATCTATGGTATAAAAATCAAATGGCACAGATTTGGAATCGGTTTTTCCCCTATTTGAAAAGGACCAATATTGAGAATATGACAGAAAGTTATACTGAAACAACAGGTGATAGGAACACAGTCATCCCTTAACTTTCACAGAGGTCAGAGAAGCACAGATCCCTATAAAAGTGGAAAAAACATGGAGATCTTAAGCAAAAGACAATATCACTGAAGGAGATTGGCTCTTGCTCTCCTCCGGATACCTGGGCAGGTTGCATGTTACAGCAGGATGAGGGCAAGGGCAGTGGGAGGGGTTGTGGCATTTGCTCCCACAGGAGCTCTCTGTGGGTGTGGAATTAATAGGGAATTCCAGCAGGAATTGCTCTAGGCTAGATCTGTAGACCCTATTAAGCTGAGACCACTGCTGTAATAGTAGCTGCCACAGTCCCTTCTCAGTGTCCTTTCCTTGTCCTGTAATATCTCTTGCCTGCCTATCTTGAGCCCTTTCCTCCTTCTCAACCCTTTCCCACGCCCTTTGGAGACCCATGCCCTACCCACTCTCTCTCCTCCTACTCTCCTGCCCCATTTTCTTCCCCCTCTCACCCAAGTGAGTGAGTGAGAAAGCAACACATGTGCCTTTCCTCTTCTCACTCCCCCATCCCATTCCCTTTCCCCCTCCTGCCCAAGTAAGTAAGCAAGGTAATGCACATGCCCTCTCCTTCTGCTCCCCTGTCCATCCCCTTTCCCTTGCCCTAATAAGTATGCGAGTGAGGAATGTCACCTTGTCGTGACAGTTGATGGACTGTCACCTTGTTGTGGTGAAGGGGCTTGCGCATTCCAATGAACGTGCGGGCGCAATGACTGGAGTCGTGCACTCCCAGGAGTGACCACGGGGGAGGTTCCAGACCAAGCACAGTCCGAAGACTACAACATCTGTTATAGAACTCCAATATGCTGATGACAGCGTCTGTGCGCCTTCTCAGAAGCGTACGAGAAGCTCGGCCTGTCATTGAACATCAAGAAAACAGAAGTGCTCGTCCAGCAGTCACCAGCCAATCCCTCTCCAATGCCAGAAATACAGCTTAATGGTGTAACATTAGAAAATGTTGACCACTTCTGCTTCCTTGGCAGCCACCTCTCCACAAAAGTCAAGATTGACATTGTAATATAACACCGCCTGAGCTCTGCGGGTGCAGCATTTTTCCAAATGAAGTACAGACTGTTTGAGGACCGGAACATCCGTAGGGATACCATAGTGCTTGTTTATAAAGCTATTGTCCTCCCAACCCTGCTATATGCCTGCGAAATGTGAACTGTCTACAGACGTCACATGCAACTCCTGAACGATTCCATCAATGTTGCCTCCAAAAAATCCAGCAAATCTCTTGGGAAGACAGGTGGACAATGCTGGAAGAAGCAAAGACCACTAGCATTGAAGCAATGGTCCTCCGCCATCAACTCCGTTGGGCCAGCCATGTTGTCTGAATGTGACCACCATCTCCCAAAGCAGTTGTTCTACTCCAAACTCAAGAACGGAAAATGGAAAGTTGGTGGACAGGAAAAGAGATTTAAAGATGGGTTCAAAGCCAACCTTAAAAACAGTGGCATTGACACCGAGAACTGGGAAGCCCTGGCCCTTGAGCGCTCTAGCTGGAGGTCAGCTGTGATCAGCAGTGCTGTAGAGTTTGAACAGGCACGAATGGAGGGCGAAAGAGAGATATGTGCCAAGAGGAAGGCATGTCAAGCCAACCCCGACTGGGACCTCCTTCTCAATGTAATTGTTCCATTAAAGTTTAAACTAATGGACACATGGTAAGTCAACATAGTCAGTGGAACTATAGATTTAGGCCCAGAACCAGTCCAAATACCTGGGTTACTGTGAGTTTTCCGAGCTGTATGGCCATGTTCCAGAAGCATTCTCTCCTAAAGATTCCTCAGAAGTTGTGAGGACTGTTGGAAACTAGGCAAGGCATCCTAAAGGCATCCTCAGAGGTTGTGAGGTCTGTTGGAAACTAGGCAAGTGAGGTTTATATATCTGTGGAATGTCCAGGGTAGGAGAAAGAACTCTTGACTACTTAAGGCAAGTGTGTATGTTGCAATTTACCACCTTGATTAGCATTGAATGTTCTTGCAGCTTCAAAGCCTGGCATATTATTTGAGAATACAGAAATGCTGGACCACTCTAAGAACTACTATGTCAGACTACACAGGGAAGCCACTGAAATCTACAAGCATGTGGACAATTTCAACAGAAAGGAGGAAACCATGAAAGTGAACAAAATCTAGGCGACAGTATTAAAAAAATCTAAAATCAGGACGGTAAATAAAGAGAGACACTCAAAAACCAGGAATTCCAGACAAGAATCATTCAGGGCCAGCTAACACCTCTCAGCAAATGATTCCCCAGGCAGCAAGCAGCTGCTAGGCCATTCAGTGCTAATCATGGTGGGCAATTGCAACATTCACACTTGCCTCAAGTAGACATGAGTTCTTTCTCCCAACCTGGACCTTTCACAGATATATAAACCTCACTTGCCTAGTTTCCAACAGATCTCACAACCTCTGAGGATGCCTGCCATAGATGTGGGTGAAATGTCAGTAGAGAATGCTTCTGGAACATGGCCATACAAACCAGAAACCTCACAGTAACCCAGTGATTCTGGCCATGAAAGACTTCAACAACATAGTCCAAATACCACTTGAAAAGAAAACCACTTTATCAATTCCTAAACACTAATAAAGATATGGATTTCGAAATATCTTTGGCAAGAGCTTGTGGGAGCTTACAACCTATCTCAAGAAACATCTGGATGACATTTTCATGTGCCATAACAATGGAACAGCAACTGATGTTTGCTAATGCAATCCCAGCTGACCTGTGGCCTTACACAGACACAGATAGTTGTTTTGGGTATCAGATTCCCAGGCACTTTGAACTGAACCTAAAAATAGATAGGTAATGCCTGTAACTGATTCAAAACAGGCTGCTTCAAGTTCCCCAGCACCCTAGTAAACCTATGGGAACGGATGTCAGAACAAAATTGCCAGCTGCCACACTGGGCTTTCTATGGCACAACTTTTTTAAAATGGAAGGAAAAGGAAGGCTTCCATAAAATAACCATCACAACACTGCATATTCTTCCAGAGTTTCGTGGAAACTACAGAGATTATCATGTTTTTGAGAGGGGAGGATGATAAATACTAAGGTGCACTGTTCAGGTATTAATCTACAGTATCAGTAGTTTAGTTGCTTCTGGAGTTGCTTCAAGCGAGAGTCCAAAAATGGCAGGCTCAAACCCAGAACCTCAACCAATGGCTGATACCAAATGAGAGACTCCCCCCGGGCACACAGAAGACTGGGCGACTTGGAAGGTGCTGAACAGACTGCGCTCTGGCACCACGAGATGCAGAGCCAACCTTAAGAAATGGGGCTACAAAGTGGAATCCACGACATGCGAGTGTGGAGAAGAGCAAACCACTGACCACCTGCTGCAATGCAACCTGAGCCCTGCTACATGCACAATGGAGGACCTCCTTGCGGCAACACCAGAGGCACTCCAAGTGGCCAGATACTGATCAAAGGACATTTAATCAACCACCAAGCTTGCAAATTTTGTGTTTTGTTTGTTTGTTTGTTTGTTTTGTTCTGTTAGAAATGTAATACAATTGTCTGGTTGCCCCTGACACGATAAATAAATAGAAGTTTAGTGTCAAATCTAATAACATCATGTCTCTGCAGGACAATTATGCACAGTGGCCAAAATACAGGTGTTTTGTCCTATAACTCCCAGAAATCCCAGCCCGTTTACCAGTGGTTAGGATTGCTGGGAGTTGAAAGCCAAAACATCTGGAGACCCATAGGTCGAGAACCACTAATTTAGATTTATTGATTTTCTTTTTTAAAAAACAAACCCCTTTTATCTGCCATATCCATGGTTTTGTTTTGTTTGGTTTTTTTTTTGGTCATGTCAGGAGCGACTTAAGAAACTGCAAATTGAGAAGATATCCATGGTATTTTAACAGGTTTTATCTCTACTTTCTGCCAGTTATTTTTCAAGTGAAAGGTTTCGACGTTGTTTTTTGGATTATAATTATGTACATGTCTTTGTTCAACTTGTGCCTTTAGTCTCCTAAAAGCTTGGCAGCTCTGTGATACTCATTAACCTGAGTTGATTTTTATGAAAATGAGTAACATCTATATTTGTATATACCTCTCTATAAAATGCAAATATTGCTTATTTCATTTGTGAGGTGGTAATTGTACAATAATCTTTGTTTTACATCCGGCTTTTATTATATTATGTATCTACTACGATTTATTTCTACACCCTTCAGAATCTTTGAAATCTGGAATATTCAATCCATGACCTTGGGATAATTATGGATATGCTATTTTCTGCTAACTACTAATGAAGACTCATTGAAATGGCTCTATATTTCTGGAAATAGTTAGGGTTCAGCTAATCATTACAGCTTGTACACCTATTCCTCATATTTTGCCAATTATGCAAGGCTTGTGGGCTGCATATAGATGGCCTTGCATGGAATAGATTGACTAC